CCCAACCCCACCCGGCTCCATTCCATCTCACAGACTGGTCAACATAATATGAGGAAGCAGAACCAAAGAACACAATGACACAGAATGTTAAAATTTTCCTGGATTCCTAAGGATACCTGTCTATGCAAAATGGAATATTTGTGAGTCTAGTGATTCTCCTGCCCAATAAATATTTTAGAAGAAAGTAAATTTATCCAATAACAAGAGACAAAAATGTCTCATGATTCCCAAAGGAGTTATGCTGCTATGGATTTTAGAACGCTTTTATATATATATATATCCCAAGATACCTGAACTACTCCACGCCTTCTTGTAAATTCATGAATTTCAAAGTAGGGAGCAAGGGTCATTAGTGCTCTGCAGGTAATAGTTATATTTAGGGTACTATATATATACTTATTTATTCAATATTTAAGATTAGATACCTACACATCCTTGGGATCTCACAAAGAAACAAGCCAAGTCAAGTCTATAAACGTAATTCTCAATTACCTAATATTGCATTAGTTTTCTCATTCTAAGTAAGGTCTATGTCCATCTTAACTTACCACCCCTCTTCCCTGGGTAATTTATCCTACGAAGATTTCTTACTCTCCCTTGCTAAGATTCCCTAGGTTAACCTCAAGTAAACGTTCCTACCTGGAACTTCATCATCATCATCCTCTCCAGTAGCAAGTGGTGCTTTTCCATCCACAGCTATAAAAGGAAAATGTAAACATTATTTGTCTAGGTTTTTAATAAATAGCCACCAAAAAAAAAGAACAGATGAAATGCCAAGTATTGTTACAACTTATTTCCGTGATAAGGGACATTTGGGATTTTATCTACGATACTATCAATAACATGATATTCTAATGTCTACAAATGGGTTAAAATACTAGGAACAGCCAACAAACAAAATTCCATACCCATCCTTTCAATCCCTCTGGGCCACCATAGGCCCTGAGGTAGTATAAAGACAGTAGGGAGCTCTCAGAATGCAGGTAAAACCCACATACCAAATCATGGTAAGATTTATTTTGGGAGACAAATGAAGATGCCATTTTCTCAACTACTTTGTGTGTGGCATAAGGATGGTGCTCAACAACCACTTACTGAAATGAAAAAAATTAAAGTAAAAAAATTAAGAGTCTGTGAGTGGTAAGCATCCACTCTATCACACAAGAATATGAACGTACACAAGATAGTTATGTACTAGCCCCATACAAGCATCAGTGGGATACTTCAAAAGCCTACTTCAGCTCTGAAAGCCCTGACAGTCTAGAACCTGCAACTCAATGTGACAATAAAAATGAAAATTGAGGCAGAATGAGTCAACACCTAGAAAAACATGGGTAACTAAAGAGCCATCTATAAGCCTCTGACTTGCTCCTGCATTCCCATTCTTCAAAATTTTAAGAAGGTAGAAAACAGCGTAACACTGCCACATATTCAGATGTATATTCAGCTAAACTATTTTCTGCCCTGAATAAAATCCCTATCACACTGTAATTAAAAATGCCAGAATATTGGCAGGCCATTTTTAAAAGATTACTGGTAATATCAACTATATAGATGAAACTGAAGTAATTTCATAATTTATACTAATTTTTTTTCAATTCCAAACTTACAAGTAGTTATTGGCAAAGCACCAAATTAACATTTTCATCATTTCTAGTTAATATTAAGTATCTGATCCAAATCAAGTAAGTAGAAAACATTCCACAAAATCAAGTGTAATGATCATAGCATGCTACATCAATTACTGCAAACTTCAGCAAGGACACTTGCTTAAAATCAGTTACAAATCTGTTCTTTTTAAAGCTTGCATTTCCAAACTTAAAAATACTCATATCCATTCTGAGCCCTGAGATCAGAAATCAGCTGCTAAATGAGTAATTCCCTGGCAAAACCATTACTAGGAAACTCACATTGTTTGGGCAGAGCTTCGGCCAGTCTCCTTAAACTAGTCAGACTATCTGCGCCAAGCTGGTTTAAGATGCTGGGTAGCATTTCTGTCAGCTGCTTCGTCTCAGCATGGCC